CGAGGTAAGCAAACCAGCCCTTTTGGCGTTTCGGCTGGGACCGTATGCTGAATGTTGGGGAGGGGATGGGGTCCCCAACGGTCGACGGTTTACTTCAACTCGGTTGGTACGATAGGAGAGTACTGACGCAAGTGGTGCAGCTGGTCCAGCAGCTCCGCCAGAAGGGCTGGTTTGCTCACCCCAGGACTAAGCCTTGGAGAGGGGACGGACCCGTCCTCTCTTTAAGGCTTAGTTCTGAGGTAAGCACCAAATTGTGGCGGTTCTAAGGACCGAGTTGAAGTGGTCCGTCCACCGTCGGGGACTCCATCCCCTCCCCAACATTCAGCATACGGTCCCAGCCGAAGCGCCAAAAGGGCTGGTTTGCTTACGTCGTATGTCGGTCGGCGGGGTAAATCTCCCGTCGCTCGCACTTTGGAGCGATGCAATCGCTCTAGGCAGAGCGACTGCATCGCGCGATGCAATCGCAGAGTCTGACCGACATCCCAGAATCGTTGAGCCTCGCTGGGTAGTGCGGTAGAATTGTAGCTCATTTCATGGAACGACCGAAGGCAATGAGTAAGTTTCAACTTACAAACTAGTTGCTCATGAGAAATAAAGAGGAATGGCAATGTCTTGAAGGTCTAACCTGGACACAGTGTGAGTCTTTTATGCACTTCTTCAAAGCCTGACGGAGACGATCGCAGGAGATACCCGTTGGCGTTATTGCGTTCAGCTCTTCATCCTCAAATTGGTAGGTGGCTGATTGAGGCAGGGCCGTCATGGCGATCCACCTTCAATACAACAGTTGAAAAGTGGCGAAAATCCTCCGCATTTGCAATGTTTGGTTTTGTACCACCTTTGTGAGAACGCTCCACATTGACTTAACCTACAAAGGAAGAAAAGCTCAGATCGCTGCATACGAAGAGCCACTGTCGCCTAAACTTGCAGCACCCCGAAAAAAATAAAAGCCGAGTTCTTTGGCAGGCTGCACCATTTCTGCGACTACTTCATTGCGAGGGCCATGTTCCAATCTCCCTCTAACATCTGGCGTTGTCTAAATGGCTTAGATTGAATTTTTTGTGTAAGAATGAGTTGAGCGAAATAGAAAGAAATGGCGAAAGGTAATCAATACTATATGCTACATGTGTTCTCTACGCGAAGTGTAGTAGGGTTCAAGAAGCTCGTTTTCGTGATTTTTTTTTAAGTTCATATCTGCACCCTGTTAGGGAAGTAGTGGTGACGTTAGCGCAAAGTGAGAAATCTGTGAGCTGAGCGAGTATAACCAGATCACGGAGATGGGAGGACTGCCGCGTAAAATTACACCTCGAAAAAAAAATGCAAGGAGCTTTTTGACAGATACCGGTTGTAGGGCATGGTTACGGAACGAACCATTCGCAAAAAGGGTGCAGCTTGCCATAACTCGACCTGCATTTTTCGTGGTGTACGTATAGGCGACAGTGTAAGAGCCATAGTTTTCCGTAAGAAAGGACGCTTAAACCACCCAAGATGCAAATGCATGTTTGGAACAATCGAGGACACGGATGTAGAATTGCATTCAGAAGAAAAAATACCAGCAATTCCGGAAAGAATTCCCTGACAACCACCGAACAGTCCTGCGGAAGCGAAAATGACAATGAGAATGGAAAAATGTCCCATCAATCAAAGGGGACTGTGCAGTGACCTTTCTACCATCCAATTGAGCCAAGAGTAAGTAGGAATGACTATTTCAACGATGTTTTGAGTTTAATAGAATCAACACGACTTGAGAACTACAAGGTTGGCAAGCGCGCTCCAGTCGTGCTGTGCTCCCGCCGAGATCGCTTCAAAAATTTCTCGCGATTTTCACGTCCGAAGCATGTGTTACCTCCTCGCGACGTTATATCGATATTACTATGCCTGCTTCTTGACAACTGCTGGTCGTCCCTGTCTTTTCTTCAGCTGGAACTACTCATATTAATATTACAACCTTCTCTACTTGCGGACCTATTTCTATGTACTTTCCCAATGTTTCTCATGCGTTTTCCTGAGTGTGTCTTTGGGCGCTCATGTCCTTTGGGGGCATTTGAAAACCGCTGATTGGTGACACAGGGACTAAGTCCAGGAGAGAAAATAAACGCTAGGGAAGAACAAAGATTGCTCAAAGGTGCTCCCCCAGAATTCTTCTCCTCCCTAAGACTTAGTTCCAAGTTCTTCAAGTGGCTCACTCACCAATGTCCCCCCCCCTAACGACGTGAGCGCCTGTCTCGGTCATTCCTCACATTTCCTGAATCAGTAGTCCCGGGAAATGCTTGGTTTTTACCTTTTTTTAGTTGTATCGAGTGACTCTCGCTCCGTAGCACCCCTGTGCCCTTCACAAGCGCAGTATCTGGCACGGAATAACGAAGACCTTGTTTTTCTCACACTTGGCTGGGTTGCTATGCATATTGTTGAAGTTTGAGATTTGCTTTGAGGTTGACTGTGCAAACTGTGGGGTATATCATTAGCTTCTTCTGACGGGTTGCCTATCTATCAAATTTCATGTTGATATTTTGGCTTACGTAAATCCGGTAGGCAGTGATTCTTTCTCGTAGTATGCACGCTCCACAAGCGTCGTGCTGTTCATGAAGTTCATAATTCGTTTCAGCAAAAAAATATGCAACAAATACAGTGGGGAGGGGGGGGGGCAAAAAAGGACATTTTGCCTTCATCCAAATGTAAATCACTCTTGGCTATATTCAGAACGGATGCTCCCAACTTATGCTGATGTCAGAGTCAGAGAACATTTGCAGTGTTGATCGGGCACTTGTGATTTCCGTGACCCGTCGCGTGAATCGCGTGATCGCGAAAATCAGCGAAACCTGCGACGGATCGCGGACTCTGACACCAGCCTTAGATTTGAGTCACATTCCGTTCAATAGAAAAACTTCATTGTGGCCTTCCACGTGGGTGGCATCAGAAGAATTTGCCCCGAAACATGGTGCGCTGGTCGAGCTCAATGGGGTCTTCGAAGGATCGTGTACCATTACGACTTTTCCGAAAGGGTTTCGAGGGGTTTGCATAGTCAGAGCTAATGTCTCTGTGAAACTTACCAAGAGAAGTCGATCTAAGAAATTGAGTAAGAGCTCTAGGCTGGAGCAGGTCTCTTCGAGCTCGACGGTGGCAGATACGTCATATTGAAGAAAGCGAGGGCATTGAAGGAGAGCTTCGTCTACTTATAGAACGACATTGAGGCCGATGTCAGACTTTGCGAATCGCGCGATTCGCAAAGTCTGACATCGGCCTGAAGAATATTTGTTGAAGAGCTTCCGTCAACGACAACAATCCCTGCGGCGACAAAGAAATGTACGCTGAAATGCGACATGGGCAAAATGTCCTTTTTTGCTCTCCCCCTGTATGCAGGGTCAACGGCACGTTGCGCAAAGAACAACGAAGGCATCGTATCTGGCCATCGGAAGGGGAGGGAGTCGTAACCTCAAGTACCAATCACAAAATTCGAAGATGCTAAGGCATGGCTAAGAGCAAGATTTCCTACTAAGATATGTCACGGCCCAGAAAGCACAAGCGGAAAAATTCTTTCAAAGAAAGTCCCATGTTCTTAGACCAAAACAAAGTGAGGGAATGTGCAGCGAGTCTGGTGGGTTGACCTCTAGAGACCTATGGAAACCTCTGGCAGGAGGAAAG